CCACTGGCCTTCCCCCTTCCTCCCATTTGTACGGTACAAGCAATAAAGACACTCGTTTCAGACCGGGGCCCACCGCCCTGGGCCGTTACTTGCCTGCGGAGCCCGGCCCCACTGACCTGCCCCTAGGACCCGTCTGCCGTGCCGGGGCCTGGCCATCTGGAGCTGTGTCCCTTTGGGCGGCAGGGCGCGGGCGGGTGGCTGGGCCTTCGTGTGGGTGCCGCTGTGGGTGGGAGCTGCTGAGGACTTTGGGAAGCTGCCCGGGCCTGGGCTGTGACTCCGGCGGGCAGAGGCCATTCCCGGTCTTCAGAAGCTGCCTGGGCTAAAAGTGGGGGGGGAGGCATGGGGGGGGGGTTGGCTGGCTCTGAAAGGGGAGGGCGTGCGAGGCGCCCCTGAGCCCTGGGAGTGCAGGTGTGGGAGTGGATGCCCTTCACGTGACCCTGGAGTCCCAGGGCCGGGCATTGCATGCAGTCCCCTTCTCCCCATTTATGCCAAACCAGGGAGCCTCGAGGCCCCCCGATTCCAACACAGAATCCTTGGCGTATGCGTGGGAGTCGAGATGGATGCTTCTGGTTTGGTCACAGCCCTCCCCCAGCTCTGGGACCCTCTGAGAGCTTGTCCCCTTTACCTGTAGTTCCCGAGTTTGAACCGCCCTTCCCACACCTTGGGACCAGGGCTGCCCTGGCACAGATGAATTTGGTGTCCGATTTCGCCAGGCGTTAGGGCTGCTTCGCACGCGTGGAGTCCTTGAGATCTTGAGTGAGGGCAGCAGAGAAAAGTCAGGGCCAGTTTAGACTCGGGAAGGCGTGGCCGTTTCTTACTTCACGTGGACTTTATTATTTATTTAATTACAAAAGCATGTGCTGGTGGTCATGAGACCAGCAGCAGTAGAAGCTTCTAAAGGAGAGCCTTCTACTTTTCCCTCCAGTCAAGGCCCCGGAGGCAGCCGGTGCCAGTTCCTTCTCCCGTCATCTCCCCGCCCCACTCCGAGGAAATCCTGAGCCTACCTCAGTCCAATAGATCGCCTCGCAGTCCCTGGGCCCTGGTCCCCGGCTCCGGGCCCACAGGCTCGCGAACACTTCCCTCGGGCGAACATAGATTCCCCAGATGTAGTGGTGCTTCCTTCTGTAGAACTTTTTCCCAAAGGGAGTTTCAGGTGGAAGAGTTTTAATAATAAAATTTTACCAATTGGAAAATTTTAATTTTGAGTGGATTACTTTGTCTTTTGTCATGTATGTGTGTGAGAGTGAATAATGCAAGCAACACCGAAGTACGAGGAAGAAAAAGTGAAAATCCACGCAGATCCCAGGCCCTGCATGCCCTTCCTGGCGTTCTCGTTGGCACCATAAAAAGGCTCTTTCCCTTTGGTGTTGTGTTGTCCCAGTGAATAATGCCAAGTCCCCGGGCTACACCTGCCACGTTTTCCCAACGCTCCTGCCGACACATGTACGTTACTAGGGCGGGCTGGTCCCTGGTGAAATGAGAGTCTCCCTCTGCATTTTGGGGACCTTGCTTCATGAGGCTCCTCTCACGAGGCGGGTATGCCTCACCCGATCCAGACCCCCCTAGTTGACAATTTACTCGGTCTCCAGATGTTTCGCTGCTACTGACAGTGCTGTAATAAACCTTAAGGATCCGTGTTTCTGGCACTCTTGTGGCCCACATTCCAGGGTGGCTGTATTTTAACACGTGGCTGATAATTTTCCAGAAAATGTGTGGTGATTTACAGATTTTTAACTTTATTTTGTAAGTAACTGCAGGCTCATAGAAGAACACTTTCAGAAATAGTACTAAAATGATTCTAGGCCTGGGGCGCCTCATAGTGCCCCAAAGTAAGGGCTTGCTCAAACCCCAGAAAAGCAGGGGCGCCCGGGTGGCTCAGTCGGTTAAGCGTCTGATTCTTTCTTGGTTTTGGCTCAGGTCGTGACTTCAAAGTTCGTGAGTTCGAGCCCCAAATCGGGCTCTGGGCTGACAGCGAGGAGCCTGCTTGGAATTCTCTCTCCCTCTGTCTCTGCCCCTCCCCCCCTCACGCTGTCTCTGTCTCTCTCAGATAAATAAAAAACCTGCAAAGCAGAGCCTTACTGATAGGGGTATGTGAAGGCATACAGGAGCGGATGGACAGTGCTCCCACTGGGCAAAGTTGAAAGTACTTCGAGCAACAAAAATAGCACAGTCCTGGGTTACACCCAGAGTCACAATAAACAAGTTGGCACGGAGCTAAATGGTAAATGGTGCAAACAGACACGTGTACAGAATTCCAGGTTATTTCTGTAGAATTTCTGTAAGTACCGTGCCTTCAAGGAGGGGGAGCATAGCCCCCATTCCTTATGTGTGGGCTGCAAAGTGACTTCCTTCCGAAGTGGATGGTATAGAAAGGGGGGGGGGAGCAACTTCTCAGTGGAGAAACCTGACAAACACTGTATCAGCCAGGTGATCAAGGTCAGCATCAACAGGGTATCTCATGTTGGCAGGAAGTGCTCTTGATGAGGATGGTATCCCTATTGGTTCACGGTTGTGACAAACGTACTACACTAAGATGTTGAGGGAAAACTAGGTGTGGGCTGTTAAGGGGAACTCTTCTATCTTTGCAACTTCCCATAAATGTACTTCAAAATTTTATTTATTTATGGGGTGCCTGGGTGTCTCAGTTGTTGAGCGTCTGACTTCAGCTCAGGTCATGATCTCACAGTTGGTGGGTTTGAGCCGTGCATCAGGCTCTGTGCTGATGGCTCAGAGCCTGGAGCCTGCTTGGAATTTTGTGTCTCCCTCTTTCTCTTCCTAGCTCATCCTCCCTCCCTCCCTCCCTCCCTCTCTCTCTCTCTCTCTCTCTGTCAAAAATAAACATTAAAAAAAAAGTACAGGGGCACAGTTGGTTAAGTGTCTGACTTTTTTTTTTTTTTAATGTTTTTATTTTTGAAGGAGAGAGAAAGAGAGCATGGGCGAGGGAGGAGCAGAGAGAGAGGGAGACCGAATCCGAAGGAGGCTCCAGGCTCTGAGCTGTCAGCACAGAGCCCGACGCAGGGCTCGAACTCACGAGCTGTGAGATCATGATCTGAGCCGAAGTGGGACGCTTAACCGACTGAGCCACTCAGGTGCCCCCAAGTGTCTGACTCTTGATCTCAGCTCAGGTCTTGCTAGATCTCAAGTATTGAGAGTTCAGACCCCGTGTTGGGCTCCCACACTGGACATGAAGCCTACTCAAAAAAAAAAAAAAAAAAAAAAAAAAGTGCAAGGAGTTCTCATCTACCCTTCATGCAGGTTCCTGTGACATTTTATGATTATTCCCTCCTTCTTCCCCTTCATATTTACATATCCGCCCTAAAACAAGAACATTCTCTTACATGACCACAGTTCAATTATCAAGGTCAGGAAGTTAATATTGAAACAACCCTCTTCTCTCAGATCTTTATCAGATTTGACCAGTGGTCACAGCAAAATAAAAATGACCTGGCTAACGACTGCCATGTTGCGTTCAGTTGCGGGGGCACTTTACAGAATGTCCCCCACTGAGAGTTTGTTGCCTGATGTTTCCTCACGGTTCTATTCAAGCTACCTTTGACAGGGATTTTCAGAAATGATGTGCCCTTCTCGGTGCACCTTCTCGAGAGGCACATGAGATTCTGTCCCATGACTGAAGGTGGGGTCTGTCACATCTCTCTGCTGTAAAGTTACTACATGCCCTTTGTAGTTAGTGTCTTGTGCAGAGATACTCTGAAAATGTAAATACCTAGATTTTGTCCAAGTGTTCAGGCAAAGGGAACGACACGCACAAAGGCCCTGGGGCAGGCGGGTGCCTGGTGTGTTTGGGGAACATGAAGAGGCCGGGGGGGGGGGGGTGCGTCAAAGGGAATAGAGGGGGATGGGGAAGGAAATGAGGTTAGAGAGGTAACAGTGGGCCGAAGGGGTCTTGTGGCCAAGGTATGGAGTTTGGGTTTTATTGTAAGTCTGACAGGAAGCTGTTAGTTCAGCATCTCACAATCCTCTCTCTGCTCATTTTTCCAGGATTTCTGCCCTTCCAGTGCCTGAAAATAGCAATCCCTTTCCTGCCTCAGTGCCTTTGCTCATGCTGTTTCCACCACTTGGAATATTCCGGTCCTCCACGCACCCCACCTTTGCATTCCCGGCTCATCTTTTGGGTTTCACTCCAACATCACCTCATCAGGTCCTTGCAAGCCACTGTTTGTAAATTATATCCAGCCTGTTCACTTACTCATCCAACAACTATTTCTTGAGGACCTGCCACGCGCCAAACCCTGTTCTAGGCACTGGGAATACAGCAATCAAAACAAAACAAAACAAAACAAAACAGAAGGCAAGCCTTGCACTCATGGGGTTCACATCCTAGTCAGGAGAGAGTAACTAAGATGAGGCGGTAAGTGCTCACGAGAGAACAAGTGTGAAGAACGGAGATAGGAAATTCTCAGGATGGCGTTTTTCACAGAGGAGGTAACATCTGAGTAAACACCTTAAATGAGGGATCTGAGGGAAGCGCATTTCAGGCAAGGGGAACAGCGAGTGCGAAGGTGCTGGGGTAGGAGCGTGCCTTCTGCGGGTGAGAACGAGCCAGGAGGCCAGTGTGGCAGGAGACATGAGGGGGGTGGGGAGGTTGGGAGACGAGCTCCAAGGTGCGTGGGGCTGGTGGGGAGGATAATATAGGACCTCATGGACTTTCCCATTGAGATGGGAGACACGGTGGAGTTGTGAACAGAGGCAGGGTGGGATCTGACTTGGGCGTGCACCGGATCCCTTCTGGCTGAATGGGGCTGACAGGCTACAGGGGATGGGGACCGGGGAGCAGCGAGGAGGTGGCTGCGCCAGCCCAGACTGACCACTTACACGTTTGGAAACAATCCCTACTTTGCAGCTGAGGAAAGGGAGGCTCGGAGGGGCTGTTCCCGATCACATAGTTAGTAGCAGGAAGAGGATTTGACTCCAGCTGCCTGACCTTAGGTTTGGAGGGGCGTTCGCCATTGCCTCTGCACCTGCCCGGGTGCTCGGCACGCATGCGTGCAGGCACGTTTAAAGCGCCCGCCACAGGTCCTCAGCTCCAGCGGGAAGAGGTGGGCGCTGGGCTCGGATCTCGACGCCAGCCTGGAGGATGCTGGTGAGAGGCAGCAGTTAGGGTCACACCCCCCCCCCCCACCGCGTCCCGGGCCTGTCTCCGGGGCGCTGACTCCAGACCCCTCCTCTCTCCTGCAGAGTCCCGCTGCCTCGCCCGACCCCGAGCCTCCGAGCGTCCCGGTCCCCGACAGCAACCGCGAGGGCGCGAGCGTGTCTCCAGGACGCCAGGAGCGGCGGCCCCCGGGGCCCTGCGTGCCGCCCGGGCTGGCGGAGGCGCTGAGCGCGCTGGGACTGGCGGGAGAGCGCGAGTACGCTGGGGACATCTTCGCCGAAGTCATGGTGAGCGTGGCCCGGACGGCAGCAGAGGGGTGCGGGTTTGACGAGGCTCAGGCTGGCCCACTCCACGAGCCTTCCGGAACGCCCGGCGGCCTGCAGCCCCTCCTTTGCTAGTGCACAGCCCCTCCCGCGTGTCTCTGACATGTATTCGCTTACAAACACTTAGCGGTTTCTTACCAAATGTTTTTGAGCATATTCCCGGCCCTGGGGATGCTGTCATGAACAACATAGTCTGCTGTCATTGTGGACAGCCAAGCCGATGTAGGCAGTCATTGCAGAAAGGCCCCTGAGACCAAAGCACAGGCTCGGTAAGTCTGCAGGTACCTGTGCAAGATAGGCACTGTCGGGAGAAACACCGCAGGAATGAATTTATTCAAGAAGCATCTTGTGAGTTGTCTCTCCCCAGCCAGGGACTCTTTTAGGAACTGAGATACAGCTGTGATCCAGAGAGAAATCCCTGCCCTTGTGGTGCCAAGCAGGCTAGGGAGGCAAACAGACAAAACACACAAGGAAACAGCAGGTTATCTTCAGACTGAAAATACCAAGAGGGAGTGCAATGGGTGTAGGGAGAATTCTGTGTAGGAAAGCTGAGCTGAGGTTTGAAGGGCTGAGGAATCGACAATGCAGGGAGCTGGGGAAGGATCGTGCAAATGCCCTGGGGTGGGAATGAGCTTGGCATAGTTTAGGGCTAGAGAAGGCTGATGTAGCTGGAGTGTGGGTTGTGAGGGGAGACAAAGGAAGAGGTGGTGGTGTTGGCACTGGGGGGAGGGGGGTCAGAGGCAGGAGGGGGGACAGTGCCTGAGAGTCAGAAAGCAGTTAGGGTTTTCTCCTGAGGGTCCTGGCAGCCACGAAAGGGTTTTAAGCTGGAGAGTTCCTTGGCCAGTTTTGTATTTTAGAAAGACCCTTGGGGGGAGGATCTGAGAATGAGTGGAGGGCTGGTGACCACTAGTGGTCTGGAAACCCAGGGGTTGATGCTTAGGAGGACCCGTGGCCATGAGGGCTACAGACTGGAGAGGTGGATAGGGAGGCGTCCGGAATAAAGTCCAAGGCTCTAATGGGGACAAGGAATAGAGGCACATTTGGAGAAGACTGGAGGCCGGTTTTGGGGGTGGGGGGCGGGGCACTCACGCTTCCTCCAGTCGGTGCGAGGAGGCTGCTGCACTTAGGGCTGGAGCTCAGGCGAGAAGCCTAAGCACAGTTGTGGAGAGTGAGGCTCTCCCTGCCCAACCCCAGGTGTGCCACGCGCTGCCCCGGAGGGCCCTGCCCCGCGCTGTGACCCCGGAGATGCGCGCGCTCGTGGTGGACTGGCTGATCCAGGTGCACGTACGTATCCGGGAGGGGGCAGGGCTGGGCCGGCGTCGCAGCCTAGATCCCCGGTGGTCACTCACGCCCCTCCCCAGGAGTACCTGGGCCTGGCGGGGGACACGCTCTACCTGGCGGTGCACCTGCTCGATTCCTACCTGCGCGCCGGCAGAGTGCGCCTCCATCGCCTGCAGCTGCTGGGCGTGGCCTGCCTGTTCGTGGCCTGCAAAATGGAGGAATGCGTGCTTCCCGAGGTACTTCCGGAGTGGGGCTTGGGAGGGTGGAAGCCTCTCTTGCCTCGTCACAGATGAAACACCTACCGTGTGCCGAGCTAGCGCTTTACTCACTCTTGGAATCCCAGCATATCTGTATGAGGTCAGGGCTACCACGGTGTCCCTTTACCGGAGGAGGAGACTGAGGCCCAGGGAAGGACATTTTGCCCCAAACAGGTGGGATTTGGAGTCAGTCTTGAACAACAGTCGTTGTGGCCCTTGAGTAGTTCGAGCCGGTGCCTTATCAGAGCTGCCTGGTGAAGTAGAGAGGACTATTTCCGTTTTATAGACGAGGAAACGGAGCCTCAGAGCTTCAGTGATGTCCTTGTCACACAGTAAGACTCGAACCCAGGTCTGATTCTGAAGCCTGTGCTCTCCATGGCTTCCAGACAACAAATCAATGGCCCCACTTTACAGACTAGGAAATCGAGGTCCAGAATGGAGACTGAAGCGCTGCAGGGCAGGGGTCCAAGACTCCCCCACGTCTTCTCCCCACCCCACCCCCTCACCCCGCAGTGTGCCTCCCTCTGCCTCCTGGGCGCTGGCTCCTTCTCGCGGGCCGAGCTCCTGCGCGCAGAGCGCCGCATCCTGAGCCGCTTGGATTTCCGGCTGCACCACCCGGGCCCGCTACTCTGCCTCGGGCTCCTCGCCGCGCTAGCCGGGAGCAGCCCCCAGGTGCGGGGCAAGGGGGGCAGGGGCGTGGCTTGTACGGGGGTAGGGGCGTGGCCTCATCGCCCCGGGGCTTTGGCAGGTGACGCTCTTTGCCACCTATTTTCTGGAGCTGTCTCTGCTGGAGGCCGAGGCAGCGGGATGGGAGCCGGGTCGGCGCGCAGCTGCGGCGCTGAACCTGGCGCATCGCTTGCTCGACGGGGCGGGCTCCGGCCTGGAGCCGGCGCTTTACAGGTATGGCTCCAGGGACCTACATTCCTGGTCAGTCTTTATTTTTTTACTTAAAAAAAATTTTTTTTTTAATGTTTATTTTTGAGAGAGACAGAGACAGAATGCGAGTGGGTTGGGTCAGAGAGAGAGGGAGGCACAGAATCCGAAGCAGGCTCCAGGCTCCAAGCTGAGAGCACAGACCCTGACGCGGGGCTCAAACTCACAAGCTGACCTGATCATGACCTGAGCTGAAGTCGGACGCTCAGACGACCGAGGCACCCAGGCGCCCCTTCCCGGTCACAGTCTTTACCGTCTCAGAGAGTGAGAGACCTTGGAGCCAGGGGAGGGGGTGCACCCAGACTTGATTTTTCTGGATGTGAGAAAATGGTGTGCCTGTCTAGGCTGGGGGTGTCCGAGAATGAGGTGTTTGTCTAGATTTGGGGACTCTTAACCTTGCCCCAGGGTGGGAGATAGAGCATCTTCCTGGCCTCGGAAGATCCTAACTGCGTCCCAAGGTTGAGAATGAGAGGTCGGCCAACCTCGAGTCCCCCAGCTGCCCCTCTGGCCGCAAACGGGGTGTCCAGAGGGGCGCCCCCCACCTCTCTATTAACCATTTAACTGGATGCCAGGGTGAGTCCTCTTTTCGCCCAGCCCGTCGCTCTCCCCCCAACCCTCCGGGGTAGAGCTGGAGGTCTGTCCACCTTCAGCCCCCCTCCTGCTCTCCACTGGCCTCGTCCTGCGGGGGAGAATCGGGAGTCTGCCCGTCCTCGGCGCCCTCCAGGCCAACCTCCCGAGACCCCCTGATTGGTCCGAGGACAGGTCGTCTTCACCGCTGCCCCTACCCCCGCCTCAGTTTCTCCGTCTCCCCGCCGCAGTCCCGCGGAGCTGCGCCCGCTCGAGCCGTGCATGGCCCGCGCCGCGCTCCGAGGCCCCGCGCCCGGCCGCGCAGCCACCTTCCTCAAGTACGCGCGGCCCCAGCTCCAGGGCACCAGCCTCGCCGCCGCCCGCTTGCTCCGCCGCCCCCAGCCCGGGCTTCCCTGAGTCTGGACACCCCATCAAAAAAAGACTCTCCTTGTTTATCCTTCTCCCAGTTCAATAAAAGAGGTTTTTTTTTTTATTCTGAGCGCTCTCTGTCCTCGTTGGTCGAATTCCGACCCCTCTCTCGCTTTTGATTGGTCACTTTCTGGGCCTCTCATTTTTCTGATTGGATGTTCTTTACCAAGTCTCTTAATGGCGGCTGGGAGATACGAGGCGAATTCTGGACCTCTCCGCCAGGGGGCACTGGCGGCCTTCCGCAAGCGCGGCTCCGCGACCTAAAACTAGCATCCCAAGCGTAACCGCCTACTGGAGATAAATGGACAGAGACGCTGCAATCTGAATGGCTCTTGGTCTCAGGCTGAGAAGAAACTGGGAGGGATGGGGGCTGTGGGAAGCTGAGAACACCTGCCCCAGCCATAAGGAATGCTACCTCGATGTTGCCAGATTTTCAGATTTTGTTCAAGTGTAGCTGAACATCTACGGTTCCATAAGTATCTCTACGTTTATAAGTTAGCAACAAATTCACTATTTTTTAGTGGTTGGACAAGCCCAACACATCACATAATATGCTGGCCTGTGAGAGTCATCAGTCTGGGGTAGTATGGGTCTTTGATAGCAAGTGTTCTATAAATAGAATCTGATTTACTTAACCCCTGAAGTGCCACAGTGTCAATGGGTATATTTATAGCACTGGCCTCATAGAGGTGTGATGAGAATGTGAGTTAATAAGTACATAGAACTTTAGGACAGTGCCTGACGGTAGGTGTTATGGAAAATGTTAGCACTACATCCTAGCAGGACTGTGAGATAGGTATGCTTGTCCCTTGTTTCTGCCGAGCCCCTGGCACCTAGCTATTTAGTAGGTGCTCAGAAAATATTTAAGCGCTGAGTTCAGGTTTGGACCTATAGGGTGGGACCTGCCCTGTGGCCTCCAGAAAGAGGACGTGCGGTGGCAGGGTGAGGGGAGAATGGAAATATAAGCTTGGTGCTTGGAGCTGAGGCCCAAACCAGGGTCTTGCAGGTGTGGGGGAGGGTGGGAATATATACAGTACCCGAAATTATTCACTCACTCATTCATTCAACAACTATACGTGGGTGCTGACTCGGGGCCAGGCTCTTGACTGAGCCAGCCAGGTGCCCCTGGGGCCAGGCTGTTAAGATCATACACCTCACAGTCTCATGGGTGATAAGAAACAGGGGTTGTTAATTGCCCATTCCTGTGCCAGGCCCTGCGCCAAATGCTTTACCTACATAACAGAATTCAGTCCCTACAACTACTCTGAAATACACTCACGTAGTATCCCCAGGTCACACAGGAGGAAGGCAGGGTGGAGGAGGATCAAGGAGCTTGGCCAAGGTCCCACCACCAAGTGAGCAGCTAAGGAGAGTGGAAGATCAACCGTCCCGCTCACCTGTTCACCCTGTTTTTCTCTCAAAAGCCTCTCACATGCTTCCTTCTCTGTGCATTATTGTGCCGCTCACTCCGGGCTGTCCCTTGTCTGCTTTCCCACTGTGTCTCCTCCCCAGACAGTGAACTCAGGACAAGAAGCAGATCTCTTTGGTTCGTAGAGTGATCCCCTCCTCCAGGAAGCCTTCACTCACCGCCTCAGTCTAGGGCAGGCACCTTCCTCCTCTGGACCCTGACAACCTGTTGTGTCTCCCCCATCCAGGGCTCGACCCCCTGCCTGTGTCTCCCTATCTCACCCTGGCCACTTTATCTGAGCTTCCCAGGTGAGCCCACTCTGGGCTGTCACTGTCGGGTCACTGGTCTGTCTCCCCACGGACTAGGGGCTCAGAGAGAGTAGGGTCCAAGGCTCTCTCAGTAGCTGCTCTTTCCCGGCATCACCCAGACCAGAACTGGTCACAGAAAATGTATCAGTGAGTATTTGTTGCATAGATGAACAAATGGGTTTCCAAGCTGCTATCATTGTCTTATGTTACTGACGAGGATATAGAGTCCCAGGTAATTTGGGTGATGTGTCCAAGTGCTACAACTAGTGAGAAAATAAGCAGGGAATTGACTCTGGGCAGCCTGAGTCCATAACCTGTGTTCTTATCCAAATATGGGAAATGACTAGGGGTCTGAAAACCAGCTTTCCAACGAGGTTGATCTCTTCCTGCTCTTTCCCCAAGACTTGTCTTTTCCTTCTAGAAAGCTTTGGGAGCTTTGGGCATGGGGGAGGAGAGCAGGCAGGAGGGTGGGAGGTAAGGGGAGTGGGAACAAGGGAGAGGCCGGCTGAAGAACTAGGGCTGGGGCTGATTTGGAGGATAGAATGGGAAAGTCCTGAGGGGGTTCTCTAGACCCATAGGGGGCAGGCGGAGTCGACTGCCGGAGGTGCGGGGGCGGAGAAAGGGTGGGGACCGGCCCCGCGGGGGGCGATGCGGTAGCTGCAGCGGCGGCCGCAGGAGTTTCCCACAATGCAGCGCGGCGCGCTGTCCCCGGTGCTGATGCTCAGCGCTGCCCCGGAGCCTCCGCCGCGCCCGCCTCCCGCCCTCTCCCCGCCGGGCCCGGGCCCCCGCCATGGCTCGGCTCGGCCCAGCCCTGCCCCAGAGCCGTCGGGAGGCCTGGGCGCGGCGCTCGACAGCAGCCTGCGGGCCGCCGTGGCGTTCAAGGCGGAGGGCCAGCGCTGCTACCGAGAGAAGAAGTTCCGGGAAGCCATCGGCAAGTATCACCGGGCACTGCTGCAGCTGAAGGCGGCGCAGGGAGCCCGCCCTGGAGGTCTGCCCGCCCCCGCCCCCGGGCCCGCCAGCAGCCCGGGGCCAGCCCGCCTCAGCGAGGAGCAGCGGCGCCTGGTGGAGAACACGGAGGTGGAATGTTATGACTCTCTCACGGGTACGGGGCCGTCGGGGGACGCATACGGGAGAGGAGTAGGGAGTGACGGGCAATCATGAAGCCTTGAGCGGGGGACTGGAGGCTTGAATGAAACAGACCTGGGGTCTGTGAAGGGAGACCCCAGAATTTATCAAGGAGAGGGGTTGGGGACGTAGGGGAACACAGGGATGGAAGGGCTGGGAGGCAAGAAATGGGCTCTGGGCTGTCACCTGCGAACCTCAGATGAGAAAATCTTACCCTGGATTACCGACTCAAGGCCCCACCCCTCACCTGAGATTGTGTTTAGTACTCTCCCCTGCAGAAACTTCCCAGCTAATTGCCCGGGAGCGCTTGTCTGTTTTCGCGCCCTCTAGCGGCGGCGCAGAACGATTCTATCCCAATTGGTCAGAAGATTGGCGGCCCCGGTGGCCTGAGCAGTCCCTCAGGCCCGGCTCAGCCAAGGGAAAGGGCTGGGGCTTCCTGCAGCCTGAAGGCCAGGCTCCTAGCAGCCAGATGAGCTCTGGGGGTGCCGTCAGGCTCTGTGAGCACCGGTTCCGGTGTCCCCGCAGCCTGCCTGCTGCAGTCGGAGCTGGTGAACTATGAGCGGGTGCGCGAGTACTGTCTCAAGGTCCTGGAGAAGCAGCAGGGCAACTTCAAGGCCACCTACCGCGCTGGCATTGCCTTCTACCACCTGGGCGACTATGCACGCGCGCTGCGCTACCTGCAGGAGGCCCGCAGCCGGGAGCCCACAGGTGAGGGTGGACAAAGCAGGGAAAGGGGCTGGAGCAGAGGAAACAAGGGAACAAGGGAGGATCAGAGCCGAGCTGCTTCAAGGGAGTGCTGTGCCTCCTCCCCAGCATTCACCTCTCCATCCACCTACTCCTTACCCACCCACGCAGGCGCTCACCCCCCATTCACTCACCCATGTTCCTCTGACATCCACCCAACCACCTCCCATCGGTTCAGTCACTGACTCATCCTCAGCCTCCCACTCACCTACTCAGCCACTCCCTATCCACTCACCCCCCACTCATTCATCCGCTCACGAACCCAACTCACTCACCTCTTCACCCGGGCGCTTCACCCACCCGCTACTTGTTCAGCACTTGCAGGGAGGCAGACCCCAGGGTGGGCAATGACAAGACGTTTGCAGGGGCGGGGGTGGGAGGGGCAGGTTTGGCCCAGTTGGAGGCTTGTTGCTTGCCCTCTGGGACATCACAGGGTGCACGTGTGTGTGTGTGTGTGTGTGTGTGTGGGTGGGCGGGGGGGGGCGCGGTGCAGAGACAATAGTCTCGTATTGAGAGCCAATGAAAAGGGCGCACAACAGGTACAGGACACAGGGCTGTGGGGGCAGAGGCAAGACTGGTTTTCCTGGTGAGAGGTTTAGAGAGAACAGGCTTCTTGCAGATGTTACGGGAGGCTGGCAGGGGCGGGGAGGGAGTACGACAGAAGTCTGTGAGCAGAGGCATTCCTGGCAGAGGGCACAGCAAAAGAAATGCTCCCGTTCTGCCTGTTGTGGCTGGGGTTTTGGGGTGAAGGCTTTGGCAACAGTAGCTGTGCTTGGGGGTGGAGGGCACTGAAGGCTGGGGACCATGAGGTGCGAGCTGCCCCGGGACACCCAGATGATGCCGTGCCCGCCTCCCCTGCAGACACCAATGTCCTGCGCTACATCCAGCTGACCCAGCTGAAGATGAACCGTCGCAGCCTCCAGCGGGAAGACAGTGGGGCCGGGGCTGGGGCCGGGGCGGGGCCAGGGAATCGGGATGTCATAGGCTAAGGCCAACCTGGGGGACCGTCGCTACCCCCACTCCCACCTCACCATGTAACTTCCCCTGACTCACGTGTTTGCTGGTAAAGCACTTGTCACTGGTGACTGTAGCCTCTGTGTGGTGTCTTGTGGGGACGGGGAGGCGGAGAGGAAATGTGCACCTGGGCTTCACCCCCTGGACCCCAGAAACCCAGAGGCTCAGGGAGGAAGTGTGGGATGGGGGGGGGATCCTAGTGGGGTGCCCCAGGACCAGGGCCTGGGCTGGGGAAAGACACAGCCAAGAGCGGTAGGGGGCAGGGGTTACCTTTAATGCTGCATTTTGTGCCGAATCCCTATGATGTGCCCTGTCCCTGAGTATCCCTGCCCACCCTCCCCCCTCACTGCAGGGTGGGCACAGGGCCCCACCCTCTGGGGTACAAAGGAATAAATTAAGTGACCCCCTCCCCCGTTCCCCAATAAATAGAGTATCCTGCCCAGGGCCTCCCCTGCCTTGTGGCGCGGTAGGCTGGGGCGGGGCCTGGGGCGCTACATTCATGGCTGCCCAGGCGGGCGGTGGGCGGCAGGCCTCAGCGGGAGCCGTGGGCCCCGCACAGGGGCACTGTGCTGTCCTGGCTCTGCCCCTCCATGTCCATGTCAAGCAGCGTGGGCTGCATGCCGGGGGGTCCAGGGCTCTCTGGGGTGTCCGGCCTGCTGGGAGGCGAGATGCTGAGTGTCCAGCCAAAGGAGACCAGTTTCCAGGGGTCCAGGCGGGGCCGGCTGGCAGCCGGCCGGGGTCTTGGGGCGAAGGTCAGGGTGGTAGGGCGGCCAGGGAACTCGGGGGGCCGGCGGTGGGTCGGGAACAAGGTCTGGGGGTCGGGCAGGCGGGGGAAGTCCAGGGGATCTCGAGGGCCTGGTAAGAGAGGATCAGATGAGGTCAACGGGGTGGGCCAGAGGATGGCATTTAAAAGCCAGGATCGTCACATGAGCATTGGGGTCTCTGACATCTTTTGAGGTATCTGCTGCTCTTCTTGGGCCCACTTTCCAGGAGGGGTGGGACCTTCACCTAGGCCCCTACGACTCCGAACTGCTCACGCAGCTGGGTGCAACTCTGGGCATATTCCTTAACCTATCAGAGCCTGTTTCTTCGTCATCCCTCTAGATACAGAAAGCCCTCATCTGTCTGAAGCCTCTTATGCATGTGGCACTGGGTGTGTGCGCACACGGAGACCTGAGGCATGACCCTATCTCTGAATGGTGATGACAGCAGCTCACTACATAGGTGAGGGTTAAATAAAACAACAAAGCACGTAGCACAGTGCCTGGTAGTAGGTAGTTAACTCCTGTCCTAATCACCTTTGTCTTTGTTAATGAATTATAGAAGTACGCCTGGGTGGCTCAGTCCATTGAGCACCTGGCTCTTAATTTCGGCTCAGGTCATGATCTCACAGTTTGTGAGCTGGAGCCCCAGACTGGGCTCTGTGCTGACAGCATGGAGCCTGCTTGGGATTTTCTCTCCCCTGTCTCTGCCCCTCCCCGGCTCAGGCTCTCTCTCTCTCTCTCTCTCTCTCTCAAAATAAACATAAAAAATGTAGAGGGAACAGTGTCTAGCACATGAGTGTTACCCATAGTTGTTACTGTTGCCATTAATGCCACCCACCTGGCCCCTGGAGGCATTAGTTTGCCACCTCTCCTGCATTCCTGGGTCTCAATCACCTGGGGGCCCACGGTGCCTCTAGCAGTGAGGACCATGGGGACACAGATCCTTCCCCCCATGCTAAGCAAGAGGCCACCCTGACATCTAGGGCGTCGCCGCTGGGCTGGGACCTGGGACTTTGGTGGGGCTAGGGGAGAAGGGTCGGTTTTCTGCGCCCTGGGTGTGGGCGCCTCACTCACCAGGGCCGGGAGCCGCGGGCTCAGGCGCCCCCCGCTGCCCCAGCGCCCCATCAGACGGCGTCCGCCGGTGCCCGCGGTTCACTGCGCGCGCGGCCGTGACGTGGGTGGGCGTGAGAGACTGGCGGGGGTCTTTCTTGAAGCTCTCCAGCTCCAGGTCCACCAGGGGGTTGGTGCTGGGCGGGGAGGGCGGCGGGGAGGGCGCGGCCGGCGCGGCCTCGTCGCTGTCGGAGCGCAGCAGCGAACGCGTGGAGTTGCAGTCGGACACGGACGACAGCGACACCAGGGTGGCCGAGGGCGCCAGGCCCGGGCCGGGGGCCGCGTCGTCGCGGCGACCGGGCGAGCGCCCGGGCGGGCTGAGGCCCCGCGGGAA